CATGTGCAAAACACACCAAAGTGCATTAAAAATTTTTAAAGTCTTTACTTGAAAAAAAAAATACAGGTTTCAATGATCTTTTTTTTTTTTTGCAGTCCATAAGGTTTCAGTGATCTTAATGTCACTTTGAGACTACTTAAATTGATCTAGCTCCTTTAAAAGGGGGATTATTATCTAATTAGATTTCTTAAATCCTTATGAGCTGATCAGTGTTGTTAAGATTGTCTACCAGAATGTAGATCTTAAGTTATAATGTGATTCTATACTGAGATTTGCCAATAGGGCATTGGACAAGGTGTCTTGGGTGTGCCAATAGGGCACTGGACAAGGATTCTTGGGCCTCGTGACCTTAAGCAAAGCTGTTAACAGCCCTCTGAGCCTCAGTTTCCTCCTATCAAGCAGATATTAACACCTCCTCTACCACTTTCACAGAGTTTTTCCAAAGACCAAATAAAATAATCCAGCAGGAGCCCATGAAATATAGGCTATTATGAAGGCAACAACCATCCTTTAAAGAATGAACTATTGCCTGCCTGGAATTAACAGTTGGTATGTACAGTCTTCCTAAATCTCCTTCTTGTAAGGAAACATATACTCTCTTGGTTGCAGAGGGGAAAAAAAAGTTCATTCCTCCTATTGTCCCTTTTCTTACTGAATTTGTGAGGGTACTAATTAAAAGATATCAGTGCATCACCTTTGGGGCTGAAGTACAGATAGGTCATTGCACATCCCTGTGTTCACCTCCACCAAAATGCTAGGGGTAAATGCCTGGTGGAAATGGCAGAGACCTCACAGGTTCCCACAGGACCAAAGGTAAAGGGCAAACTCTACACTGTCTGCACAAATCCACCGGATGATTGCTTGGCAAGGCTATGGGATTCAGATCTCTGATTTGTGGCTCAGAATAACAAGTTCATTCATATAGTACATTGGTCTCCACCAACCCTTCCATGATGCTGCTATTGTGAAGATGGTTGTCAAATCTGAGTCACATTATTGCAGACTCTTACTGCATATAGCTTTGGGGACGGGACAGTCCACAGCACCTCTATATCCCAGAGCCACTGCTTCAACCAGACTTGCTGCAAAAAGCAGACTGCTTTCTCAGCTGCCACAGGTAAAGGGGAGGGAGGGTAGCGCAACTGACATGGAAGGAAAGTCAGGCTGCATGTAAGAGTCACCTGGGGAACTTTTGAATATCCCGATGCCTAAGCCACACTCCACATGTAGAATTTAACTCCTCAGGGTTAGAACTGGGTATCAGTATTTTTAAAGCTTCTCAGGTCATTCCAAGTGCAACCAAGATTGAGAAGCAGTGGCTTAGGCATCTCCCTTGCTCCAACATTCACATACCCTTCCCTTTTCAAGTCCTCTTCCACATTCTGCTCTCTCTTGAGTGTGCCTTGCACATGCTTTGCCTGCCATGGACCTAACTCAACCCTGAGGCATCCTTTCTCCTCTGGCTCTTCTGCTGGCTGGTTCCATTTCTGCTGATCCCAAATCCCCAGGAAGAGATAGCCCGACTCACCTTTCTGAACTAGGGTATTTGGGCCTTGGGAAACTTTATGGTATCATACAGAGTATTTTACATTATGGTATCATACAGAGTATTTTCACTGCCCACCTCAGGATCTGGATTCACCTCTGGATGAAGACCTGAGCCCTTCTTGCCCTAATAACCTGTGGAAAGGGACAGAGGTCATGTGCTATGAAACATGGCCAACCTTGGTCCTCTCCAGGTCTGTCGTATGCAAAGATGGTATGGGGGTGGCACAGTTTCCTTTTAACAGGAGCCGTGGGATTCTTGGCTCAATAACAAATTGTAGTATTGAAATCAAACATATTTCCAAAAAGCTCATAAAAATCAAAGATCATTGTTTTGCCCTCTATACAATATGATTTTTAGTCTTTTTAAGTACACATAGAACAATAAAATACCTTGCTCAACTATTTTTATCGTGTATGTATAATTTTATACATCTTTGTCCACAGAATCCTTGTCCATAGGAAACTAAAATTGAATTTAGAATCAAAAGAATAAGATATTCATTATTACCTTAACCAGAGGGATTTTTTAAAAGTTCTTATTAAGAAACTTTTTATTGAAATATAATATACATAATGAAAAGTGCACATATCCTAAGGGTTTATCTCGATGATTTTTTAAGACGACTTTTTTAGAGCAATTTTTAGGTTTAGAGCAAAATTGAGGAGAAGGCACAGAGATGGCCCATATACCCCCTACCCTCCCACGCACATAGCCTCCACCGTTACCAACATCCCCCACCAGAGTGGGGACATCTGTTACAGTCGATGACTTACATTATTGCCCAGGGTCCCTAGTTTACACTACAGTTAACTCTTGGCATTGTGCATTCTACAGGTTTAGACAAATGTCTAATGACATGTACCCATCATTATGGTATCATACAGAGTATTTTCACTGCCCTAAAATTCCTCTGGGCTCTGTCTAGTCATTCCTTCCTCCCCACCACCATGATTTTTTAAAAAGTGAACACCTTTGTAACCAGCATCCAGGTCAAGAAACTGAGCACAATCATTACCCCAAAGCCTCCCTTTGTGCTCCCTTCCAGTCACTACCCATTGAGGGTAACAAGTATAGATGAGTTTTACTGTTTTGTTTTGTTTTGTTTTGTTTTGTTTTACTTTATATAAATGAAATCACATAAGATATACCTTATTGTGTTCTGGCTTCTTTCTCTCAACTTAGGTTTGTGAGATTCATTCATATTTTTGCATGTAGTTTCAGCTTTAGCCAGAGATTTTGATCCTTGAAATCTGGTTCAACAAGCATTATTTAACCAGGAACTATGCTCAGGGCTGGGGACACAAAGGCAAACAAGGGTAAGCCCTTGCTATAAAGAACATTCAATCTAGTAATGTAGTAATGACAAGAATTTAATGCAAAGTGAATTCCTTTTGGTTTAACAAATATTTGTTCAGTGTCCACTATGGGACAGGCAGTATCACAGGTGCTAGGGATAAGCAATGAACAAGCAGATACAAATTCTAGTGGAATTTCTCCGTTTTATTTCCCTGACATGTGTGGGCAAGTTCTGCCCACTAATATCCATTTCCTTCTCTGTTGTGCATCTGCTTTCAACATAAGGGGGACTAGTACTGAAAGCTATTTCTTCTGGCGACTTGGGTATATACAGTTTTGAAATCGCTGGTCCAACCATGAGGCAGCTTGTGAACCAGTGAGCATGGGAGGTATTTCTCTGTATCTATTTTGCCTTATTCTATTCTCTCTATCCCTGATACTGCCTGTACAGAATGAAACAAAAATCTGAAACTTAAGGAAGGCTTTGGATGTTAGCTTACCTTGGAGTAAAGCTGGGAAATCTTGTTGCTTTCCCGAACCCTGTAGTAAGAAGAAACAGTGGCCAAAGTTGGACTGAAATCATAAATCTTTGAATTTGTTTTAATAGCTACAAGTATCTAATATGTATCATTACTCATTAATGTTGACATTTCAGAGCCTAGTGAATGATTTGAGTATAAAGCTATGACGGAGGAGGAGGGATAGAGAATCCAACATCACTCCAGAATTGATAGCTTAAGAAGAAATGGAACAGATCATCTAATTTTATTTGTTTGGTTTGTGTTTTACTTCATTTTTATGGAAAATGTCAAGCATATATCAAAGTGGAGATAATAGCAAAATTCACTTCCATGTATCCATCTTTTACCTTCAAAGATTATCAATCATGCTCAGTTCATCTCTAACCCACTGCTTTCTCCTCCCCTGATTATTTGGAAGAAATCCCAGATATCAAATAAGTTATTCATAAATGTTCAGAAAGTGAGGTCTCTTAGTTTTAATCTCCTTAGTTCATCAGCACAGAGAGGCAAAGTCACCAACGTGGTTAGTAGCAATTATTTTTAATCCCTAGACTTCAAAAGTCAAAAAGGTTACTAACAGAGAATATTGGACTTTACATAGTGCAGTTAAACGGCATGTATGAGACATGAATTGTCAAGTTATGTCAAACATCTGGTCTGATCCATGACCATGGTATTTTAATGGTCACATATTGGATAATAGTTATAAGTGGAATAAGAGTCTCCCCACACAAGAACCTTAATATGTAGACTGAACATCACTTGAATCCACTATAAATTTGTCATCAGTACATTTACAATCTTATTTTTAGCTTCTATCAACATTTTATCTAATGAATTTCATAAATTAATACTCTAAAAAAAACAAAACAAAACAAAACAAAAAACCAACTCTGTATTATTTGGCCTACAATCACCTCTTTTAAATCTCCCATTCAGAGTGGCAACTTTTCCAAACTGTTCATCATGACGTTGGGACTGCTAGTTGATGTTCCTTTTCATCAATAATTTCAAAACAAATTCTTGTGGATTTTGAAATTGCAAATAAATGTGTCCAAGTGAAACTGTTCTTTTCAACTTGTTAGTAATAAAATGGGTCTAAGACCTTTCCTAAGCTGCATTGTTTCCCATCTTCAGCCTGTTCTATTTTCTAAGGTTAGTTGATGTTCATTGAGCCAGTGTCAATGGCTTATCTACTATGAGATATCAAAGCACAACTAGGCTTTGATGGAGATACTTTTCCAGGGTTTCCAGGCTTAACACCCCGAGTCACCATTGTTTGAAGATAGAATGTTCCAGTAGTTTCTAGAGCAAGAGGGAAAGATTCTGTTAGTGTCTTTGTTGTGAAAATGTGCAAAATGTTGCTTTGGCTGCTTTGACTGTCATACTTGTCCAATTGTATCTCAAAATGTTACCCAAGGTATGTGACATCCATCACTGTGAGAAATGGGACATAAAGCCTCTCCCAATGTGTATTTGATGAGGAGATAATTGGGGCTAAAAAAAAAAAGCTGCAAAGATTACCTAAATAAATAACACTGTAAAAGGCAGATACCCAGTCATTTTTTCATATACAACTCTCACTCATTTCCCTGTCAGGTTAACCATTTTCATTGTGTACTTTTTCTGGGCAGATTATTCACATCGAACTCCTTTGATGTGATCAGTGATGATGCTTTTATTGGTCTTCCACATCTAGAGTATTTGTAAGTAAAGAAACTTTTTTTTTTTTTTTGACATAATGATTCAGGACAAGTGTTCTCAGTTTCCTACAGCTGTCTGACAACAAATATTATAACCCATTGCAGATTCATAGAAAACAACAACATCAAGTCCATTTCAAGACATACTTTCCGGGGACTAAAGTCTTTAATTCACCTGTAAGTATGAATGTTGCTCTTACTTTTTAAGCGTACTAAGGGACAATGCAGTTTGATAATCTGTGGTTCAAATGCCCTCTTCATAAGTAGCCCATGAAAATTTAAGAATGATTTATCCCCATGCACACGTGCCATATATCTCCCTGTCATCAGCCAGTGTGGGTTCAGGAAATTGATTACTATTGATATGATTAGCCTAATCCAACCACAATTAGGAAAACAACCTAATGCAGGAAAGTTGTGACTGAAATAACTTTTTTATCATCTACATCATTACTCCCTTCATGGGTAATTATGGGTTGACTATATACCTTAATTTGATATGTGCTGTTTTTCTTTTTCTGTGTAAGCCCTGACTTTATATGCATTTAGACATATACTATAAACACCAGCTATGTTTACACAATATCTGAACAATTTGTTTATAAATTAAATATTTAATTATTCAATGAATGACTAGAGCTACAATAGTTGTTCTTAACAGGAGACAATTGTGCCTCTTAGGGAACATTCATCAATATCTAGAGACAAGTTTAGTTGTCAGAACTCAGTGCTGTAACTGATATCTGGTGGGTAGAGGACAGCGATGCTCTCCTAAAAACCCTGCAATATACAAGACAGCCCCCACAAAAATGGAATCTGCACCCTGAAATGGCATAGTGCTGAGGCTGGGAAGCCCTGAAAAACATGAACCAAAAAACTTATTTCTCCTAGCCTCTCTCACCTCCTACACACACACACACACTTTGAAGGAAGCTAGAGGGCATGGGAAGAAAAGGCACTAAGATTTATTAAGTGCCTACTATTAGGTCAGTCAATTTGCTTTACTTGGATTTTCATTTAATCCTCTCAACAATCCTGCCAGATAGACACAATAATCCCCATTTTAGAAATGAGAAAACAGAGACCTGGAGGGGATATATGACAAGTGAGCTGAATAGTTATGGGATTATAACATCAATTCAACAGTTGAACTGCAAGGGCTACTCATTCATTCAAGACTATTTTTCAAGTGCCTAATATGTGTCTCATTAATATTAAGACATAGATGCAGGAGATCCCGATGTCATTCTGTTAACTTTTACATGTCCCTCATAATACCTCACTGACAATTGTTCTAAGCCTCAGAATGTGGCAGGGAACAAGGCAGACAAAAATACTTGCCTTTTGAACCTACATTCTAGTATGTCCACATAGCCATTACACTTCCTCTCACCAAACTTGTCTCAACTGCTGTTTGGATTTGCAGTAATGGGGCACTGATGGGCAGATGTATTATGCTCAAATCATTAGGTTCTTCAAGTCTTCTATAAAAAGTCATTATAAGAAAAAATATTTGCTATGCTATGCTACATGTCAACGATGTAACACAATGCAAAAATAGCTGTGTATGGTATAAACATTATGCCATTTTGTCAGAGAGCCAAACACTGACAAACTCCATTGTTTAGAAAATAATTTAAAAAAAAACAGAAACAAATATATGGAAGGGGAAATGGGAGTCATCACCTCAACTTGAGAGCTGCTTAATTCACATAAATCCCATTCAACATACCTTCTGTGTGATGCTCAGCATCATAAAGTGCTGAAGGAAAGATGTAAAATCCAGGTATCCTCTCTGGGAACTCGGGATATAGGCTTTGCTGTTCCCATTGGTCCATTCAGGTATATCTTCTCTCCAGTGTAAAGGATTACCTGACACAGAAGAAAAAGAGAAAGGAAGGAAGGAAGAAAGGATGGAAGAGAGGAAAAAAGGATAGACAAAAGAGTTAAAGGAGAGAGGGAGAAAGGTAGGAAAGAAGGGGAAGAGAAAACAGAAGGAAAGAGGGGAGCAATGGGGAACAAGGGAGAATGAAAAAAATTTACGTAACACACTAATGAAAAATATCTATTTTGTTTAACTGGAGCCTATTAGGTCCATCAAATGAAATGGGAATTGAAATTTGGGTCATAATGAGGCCTTTTATCACAAGGAGACACTAGTATAGCATGTGCTTAGTATCCAAACATTTCCAAGCTCAAGGGAACACCAAAGTCAGTCTTCAAAGAGAGAAGCATGAATCTAAAAGGTCAGACAGTGAAAGGGAAGTCTAACCCTCTGACCAGGTGCTAGAGGTGGGAAGAAAGTGTTAGGAGGGAACAGGTTAAAGTTAATTGAGTGAATATGACCCTTAGGTCTCTTGCATCTTTATCTAACAGTTAGGTTGACTCATATGGCATTGCCAGTATTAGACTGTTTTTGATCTACAAAAATGCAACGCCATATGGTTCGTCCTAAATAGTCTCTAGGAAGTGCCACACAAAGATGAATAAGATCCAGTTCCAACCTGGAGGAGTTCAGTCTGACAAGAGGAATTAGACAAACAAATATTTTCTCACTGAGTGCCTTTGTCCCCAAGTTATGTTCTCCTTTCTAATTATGCTATTCAAGATGTATTTCCTCCTTCCTCCCTCCCTCCTTTCCTCCCTTCCTTCTTTTTTTTTTTTTCCTTTCCTTTCTTCCTTTCAAGGAGAGATGGGTAGGGAGGATTTGAAACTCAAATGTCCCTCTGACTGCTCACTACATCAAATTAATTTTCCATTATTTACCACCTATAAATAAATCTGACATTTGTTTGAGCCATTAGTTTCCTTTTTAGGATTTTAGGCTTTAAATGCACTTTCTTCCACCTCAGACCAACTCTACCCAATCAAAGGGAAACACTGGAGGAAAAGTTTACAAAGCTCTTTCAGATTCTTGACCTCATGATAGTTTCCTGGTGACCTTACAAAATAGTGCTTAGCATACTACCACTGGTTGACAGATGAGAACATGGAGGTGTACCCTGCACTTAAGCTGCTCCCCATCTAGTAATAGTAAAGGCAAAAGTTTCTTGGGTTCATTAATGGGATGTCTCATGCCCTCTCCATTGTGTCAGTCATAGCAGGACCAGAAAGCTTTGACTGAGCTGCCTGGATCCTTCCACAAGACATGGTCTCAGGAGCAAATATGACTAGAGAAGAAGAAGATCCTGAAGACAGGGGCCCTAACTTTGCTTTTAGACTCCAAATGCAAATAGTTGTATTCAGACATATACTTTTAGATCCAACTGGTTCCCACTCTGGCCTAACATTGCACCTACCTGAGCATTTTTACAAATTCCATTAGTTCCTAAGGAAGCAACAAACTTATCTCACTTTCAAATGCATCTATCTCAGGAGACTTAACTTCTAAAAAGAGACTTATAGACAACTTGAAAGTTACTATATATACCCCTTCCCTCTCAAGCTAGCTTTCAGAAAAGGGAAAATTCCTTACATTTCAGTCCTTACAATGCCAGTCAAATCCTGGGACCCTCTATCTTATTACTTTATTCTGAGTTACTGTCCCAATGTTATACGTGTTTAACTTTAATGTTTGAATAGTTCATATTTTTCAACAAGGTTTGAATTTTTCTGATGAAATCAGAGTGAAAATGCATTAAAAATAGCTTATGGCCAATGATGACCAAAATCTCTAAACATGATGTATTGGTTTCTGTTAACACCCATGAGCCTTTTTAGTAGTGATTTCCTTTGGTATCACATATGTATCACTGTGACTAAGGCCCAATAGAGGCAGGACTGTTGGCATGCATGTATAAAAATATTTGGGGAAAATTGTCATCAATCTATATGTGTTGTGGAGCACCTGCTGATTCCTCAGCACTGGGGGGTGGGGGGTGCAAGAGATATATACAGTAGTCCCCAAACTCAGAATGCCTGTGTGTCCCCAGTCAGTCAGGTAGGATGTCTTCATTTCAGCCTTCACAATGACATGCATATAAAGAGGCAGTGCAGTGTAGTGGCTGACAGTGACCTCTGCCACTGGACTGTCCAGGTTCAAAGCCTAAACATCTGTGGGATATCAGGTCACTTAGCTTCACTGTGCCTCAGATTTCTCATGTGTAAAATGGGAGTGATAACAATAATCTGTAAAAACAGGGACAGGAGATAATAAGGTACTTAGGAGTACCTGGCTCCTAAGGTTGTCCTAAGATCAAATGAGTTAATCTATGCAAGATGCTTAGAACAGAACCTGGTATGCAGTAAATACCATTATGCAGGAATAAACTAACACTTGCTGCCTAACCTCTGTTGGTCCTGGATCAGGATTCCAAATGCTGCAGTTTTTATCCACTTTAAGCATTTTGTATGAAATTAAAATAACTGCACTTGAAACACCGCAAAATCAGTGAGACACCGACTCAAGCTGAGAATCTGCACTGCAGGGAGGCTGGGAGCACCCCAGATGGCTGTGGGCGCTGCTTTCTTAGCAGTGGAGCCCAGTGGCACTGAAACAAACGTGCTATCTGAGCCAGTCTGGTCTGCCTTAAAGAGAAGGCTTTCCAGTAGATTCCATAGTCATAATCAGAGGTTTTCTCAGGTAAACCAGGATGACACCAAAGTGGAGGGAATGGTCATCCCCTCTGTTGGGAAGGAAAGACTGCCTGCCAATGGGAATGCTTGAAACTTCTCATCTAGTTTCAAGGCAACTAGATGTTCAGTTGGGCAGTTTCTGGTATCTTAAGGAACGTTTCTTAGGCAGGCTTTGAATCACCAGGAAATGGTGCTTAGTTGAAGGCACACTTTAGAGAGCCTCCACACTGCTTTGGAATGATTGCCACAGGGAGGTGAAAAGGAGGAGGAGGGCACATTGTGAGCAGCAGGTCCATGTGATGTGGGGGTGGGTGGCAAGGGCAGTTCCCAGGGTTTGCACTTTCTTCCCAACTCAGTGTCTTGGTACAAGGGGTCTAAGAGAAGCATCCTCTACTCTTTTCTTTGTCTAGATTGGTGTCCTTCCTCTCCTCCACTCCAGCTTGCCCCATTCATTCATTACTTTCAAAGTATCTACTGAGGGCTTACTTTGTGCCAATCACTAAGAATACAGTGGTAAGAAGAGCATCCTTCCAGGACTCACAGCAGAATCAACCTAGAAAAAATTAACATCGATGAAATATGTCCTCAAACCTTTCATCACC